GAAAACATTTAATTTCTAAACAAAACCAGAATTTTTCCGGAAAACATTTAATTTCTAAACAAAACCAGAATTTTTCCGGAAGACATTTAATTTCTAAACAAAACCAGAATTTTTCCGGAAAACATTTAATTTCTAAACAAAACCAGAATTTTTCCGGAAGACATTTAATTTCTAAACAAAACCAGAATTTTTCCGGAAAACATTTAATTTCTAAACAAAACCAGAATTTTTCCGGAAAACATTTAATTTCTAAACAAAACCAGAATTTTTCCGGAAAACATTTAATTTCTAAACAAAACCAGAATTTTTCCGGAAGACATTTAATTTCTAAACAAAACCAGAATTTTTCCGGAAGACATTTAATTTCTAAACAAAACCAGAATTTTTCCGGAAGACATTTAATTTCTAAACAAAACCAGAATTTTTCCGGAAAACATTTAATTTCTAAACAAAACCAGAATTTTTCCGGAAAACATTTAATTTCTAAACAAAACCAGAATTTTTCCGGAAAACATTTAATTTCTAAACAAAACCAGAATTTTTCCGGAAGACATTTAATTTCTAAACAAAACCAGAATTTTTCCGGAAAACATTTAATTTCTAAACAAAACCAGAATTTTTCCGGAAAACATTTAATTTCTAAACAAAACCAGAATTTTTCCGGAAAACATTTAATTTCTAAACAAAACCAGAATTTTTCCGGAAAACATTTAATTTCTAAACAAAACCAGAATTTTTCCGGAAAACATTTAATTTCTAAACAAAACCAGAATTTTTCCGGAAGACATTTAATTTCTAAACAAAACCAGAATTTTTCCGGAAAACATTTAATTTCTAAACAAAACCAGAATTTTTCCGGAAAACATTTAATTTCTAAACAAAACCAGAATTTTTCCGGAAAACATTTAATTTCTAAACAAAACCAGAATTTTTCCGGAAAACATTTAATTTCTAAACAAAACCAGAATTTTTCCGGAAAACATTTAATTTCTAAACAAAACCAGAATTTTTCCGGAAGACATTTAATTTCTAAACAAAACCAGAATTTTTCCGGAAGACATTTAATTTATAAACAAAACCAGAATTTTTCCGGAAGACATTTAATTTCTAAACAAAACCAGAATTTTTCCGGAAAACATTTAATTTCTAAACAAAACCAGAATTTTTCCGGAAAACATTTAATTTCTAAACAAAACCAGAATTTTTCCGGAAAACATTTAATTTCTAAACAAAACCAGAATTTTTCCGGAAGACATTTAATTTCTAAACAAAACCAGAATTTTTCCGGAAAACATTTAATTTCTAAACAAAACCAGAATTTCTACGGAAAACATTTAATTTCTAAACAAAACCAGAATTTTTCCGGAAAACATTTAATTTCTAAACAAAACCAGAATTTTTCCGGAAGACATTTAATTTCTAAACAAAACCAGAATTTTTCCGGAAAACATTTAATTTCTAAACAAAACCAGAATTTTTCCGGAAGACATTTAATTTCTAAACAAAACCAGAATTTTTCCGGAAAACATTTAATTTCTAAACAAAACCAGAATTTTTCCGGAAAACATTTAATTTCTAAACAAAACCAGAATTTTTCCGGAAAACATTTAATTTCTAAACAAAACCAGAATTTTTCCGGAAGACATTTAATTTCTAAACAAAACCAGAATTTTTCCGGAAAACATTTAATTTCTAAACAAAACCAGAATTTTTCCGGAAAACATTTAATTTCTAAACAAAACCAGAATTTTTCCGGAAGACATTTAATTTCTAAACAAAACCAGAATTTTTCCGGAAAACATTTAATTTCTAAACAAAACCAGAATTTTTCCGGAAGACATTTAATTTCTAAACAAAACCAGAATTTTTCCGGAAGACATTTAATTTCTAAACAAAACCAGAATTTTTCCGGAAAACATTTAATTTCTAAACAAAACCAGAATTTTTCCGGAAGACATTTAATTTCTAAACAAAACCAGAATTTTTCCGGAAAACATTTAATTTCTAAACAAAACCAGAATTTTTCCGGAAAACATTTAATTTCTAAACAAAACCAGAATTTTTCCGGAAAACATTTAATTTCTAAACAAAACCAGAATTTTTCCGGAAGACATTTAATTTCTAAACAAAACCAGAATTTTTCCGGAAAACATTTAATTTCTAAACAAAACCAGAATTTTTCCGGAAAACATTTAATTTCTAAACAAAACCAGAATTTTTCCGGAAAACATTTAATTTCTAAACAAAACCAGAATTTTTCCGGAAGACATTTAATTTCTAAACAAAACCAGAATTTTTCCGGAAAACATTTAATTTCTAAACAAAACCAGAATTTTTCCGGAAGACATTTAATTTCTAAACAAAACCAGAATTTTTCCGGAAAACATTTAATTTCTAAACAAAACCAGAATTTTTCCGGAAAACATTTAATTTCTAAACAAAACCAGAATTTTTCCGGAAAACATTTAATTTCTAAACAAAACCAGAATTTTTCCGGAAGACATTTAATTTCTAAACAAAACCAGAATTTTTCCGGAAGACATTTAATTTCTAAACAAAACCAGAATTTTTCCGGAAAACATTTAATTTCTAAACAAAACCAGAATTTTTCCGGAAAACATTTAATTTCTAAACAAAACCAGAATTTTTCCGGAAAACATTTAATTTCTAAACAAAACCAGAATTTTTCCGGAAGACATTTAATTTCTAAACAAAACCAGAATTTTTCCGGAAAACATTTAATTTCTAAACAAAACCAGAATTTTTCCGGAAAACATTTAATTTCTAAACAAAACCAGAATTTTTCCGGAAAACATTTAATTTCTAAACAAAACCAGAATTTTTCCGGAAAACATTTAATTTCTAAACAAAACCAGAATTTTTCCGGAAAACATTTAATTTCTAAACAAAACCAGAATTTTTCCGGAAGACATTTAATTTCTAAACAAAACCAGAATTTTTCCGGAAAACATTTAATTTCTAAACAAAACCAGAATTTTTCCGGAAAACATTTAATTTCTAAACAAAACCAGAATTTTTCCGGAAAACATTTAATTTCTAAACAAAACCAGAATTTTTCCGGAAAACATTTAATTTCTAAACAAAACCAGAATTTTTCCGGAAGACATTTAATTTCTAAACAAAACCAGAATTTTTCCGGAAGACATTTAATTTATAAACAAAACCAGAATTTTTCCGGAAGACATTTAATTTCTAAACAAAACCAGAATTTTTCCGGAAAACATTTAATTTCTAAACAAAACCAGAATTTTTCCGGAAAACATTTAATTTCTAAACAAAACCAGAATTTTTCCGGAAAACATTTAATTTCTAAACAAAACCAGAATTTTTCCGGAAAACATTTAATTTCTAAACAAAACCAGAATTTTTCCGGAAGACATTTAATTTCTAAACAAAACCAGAATTTTTCCGGAAGACATTTAATTTATAAACAAAACCAGAATTTTTCCGGAAGACATTTAATTTCTAAACAAAACCAGAATTTTTCCGGAAAACATTTAATTTCTAAACAAAACCAGAATTTTTCCGGAAAACATTTAATTTCTAAACAAAACCAGAATTTTTCCGGAAAACATTTAATTTCTAAACAAAACCAGAATTTTTCCGGAAAACATTTAATTTCTAAACAAAACCAGAATTTTTCCGGAAAACATTTAATTTCTAAACAAAACCAGAATTTTTCCGGAAGACATTTAATTTCTAAACAAAACCAGAATTTTTCCGGAAAACATTTAATTTCTAAACAAAACCAGAATTTTTCCGGAAAACATTTAATTTCTAAACAAAACCAGAATTTTTCCGGAAAACATTTAATTTCTAAACAAAACCAGAATTTTTCCGGAAAACATTTAATTTCTAAACAAAACCAGAATTTTTCCGGAAGACATTTAATTTCTAAACAAAACCAGAATTTTTCCGGAAGACATTTAATTTATAAACAAAACCAGAATTTTTCCGGAAGACATTTAATTTCTAAACAAAACCAGAATTTTTCCGGAAAACATTTAATTTCTAAACAAAACCAGAATTTTTCCGGAAAACATTTAATTTCTAAACAAAACCAGAATTTTTCCGGAAAACATTTAATTTCTAAACAAAACCAGAATTTTTCCGGAAGACATTTAATTTCTAAACAAAACCAGAATTTTTCCGGAAAACATTTAATTTCTAAACAAAACCAGAATTTTTCCGGAAAACATTTAATTTCTAAACAAAACCAGAATTTTTCCGGAAAACATTTAATTTCTAAACAAAACCAGAATTTTTCCGGAAAACATTTAATTTCTAAACAAAACCAGAATTTTTCCGGAAAACATTTAATTTCTAAACAAAACCAGAATTTTTCCGGAAGACATTTAATTTCTAAACAAAACCAGAATTTTTCCGGAAAACATTTAATTTCTAAACAAAACCAGAATTTTTCCGGAAAACATTTAATTTCTAAACAAAACCAGAATTTTTCCGGAAAACATTTAATTTCTAAACAAAACCAGAATTTTTCCGGAAGACATTTAATTTCTAAACAAAACCAGAATTTTTCCGGAAAACATTTAATTTCTAAACAAAACCAGAATTTTTCCGGAAGACATTTAATTTCTAAACAAAACCAGAATTTTTCCGGAAAACATTTAATTTCTAAACAAAACCAGAATTTTTCCGGAAAACATTTAATTTCTAAACAAAACCAGAATTTTTCCGGAAAACATTTAATTTCTAAACAAAACCAGAATTTTTCCGGAAGACATTTAATTTCTAAACAAAACCAGAATTTTTCCGGAAGACATTTAATTTCTAAACAAAACCAGAATTTTTCCGGAAAACATTTAATTTCTAAACAAAACCAGAATTTTTCCGGAAAACATTTAATTTCTAAACAAAACCAGAATTTTTCCGGAAAACATTTAATTTCTAAACAAAACCAGAATTTTTCCGGAAGACATTTAATTTCTAAACAAAACCAGAATTTTTCCGGAAAACATTTAATTTCTAAACAAAACCAGAAACAAACTACCTTCAATTTTTCCAGTAGATTCAGTTTGTTGGCTATCCCCACAACAAGGAATATCTAATGCAGCAGCTTTAACATGCCCAGATTTCAGGAAAGCTATTAATGCTTGTTGGTCAATTAAATCAGGGTCGCTAGTGTTAATGAGAAAAGCACCAAATTTTAGGCGATCCAAGGTGCTCTTAATAAAAAATAAATTTAATTTTGGATTAAATTTAAATAAAAACATTATTTAACATAAGCCTTGTTTCTGGTGTAAGTTTACAATGGAGTGTAAGACAATCTGACTGGGTGAGCATGTCTGTGAGATTTTCGGTACGATCAACACCAAACACTCTATCCATACCTTTTTTTAAATTTAAAATTAATTTTAAATTAAACGAGAAAATATAAACCTAAACTAGCGTTTGGATCATAAAAACAAACTCGGAAACCAAAGGTTTTAGCACGCAGGGCGACTGCACAACCAACCTTTAAATTTATTGTTTAAGGTTAAACAGAATAAAAATAAAACAAAATCTATAAACATTATAAGCGCCCTGGGAAAAACAATGTTTCTTTACGGTTTATTTCCGGAAAAACATCATGTGTTTGTTTCCGGAAAAACATCAATTTGTTTTTCCTGAAAATAAAATGTATTGTTAAAAATATTAGTTTGTTTTCCGGAAAAGTTTCCGGAAGAAACTTCTGGAAAAATGTTTTTCTCCAAACATTTTGTTTTCCGGAAAACATTATGTGTTTCTTTCCGGAAAATTAATGTTTAGATAAAATATTACATGTTTTTTCCGTCAAACATCTTGTTTTCCGAAAAACATCAAAATTTTGTATTAAATACATTTCTGGATTAATGTTTTCCGGAAAATGTTTTTCCAACATGTTTTTGCGGAAAATGTTTATTTAACAAGTTTTTCTGGAGAAAGGTTCTACAACAAATTCAATTAATAAAATGTTTTTAAATGTTTCATAAGAAACAGAAAACTAAAATGTTCCCAATATATAATTAAATATAATTTTCAACGTCCAAATATTTTTAAGGAAATTAAAATAAATTTCAAATTAAATTTACAAATTTTCTTCCAATTTTTATTATTTTAGGGCAACAAATTTAAATAGAATTACCCTTCCAAAGCCAACAATCCCAAGTGTTTGACCACGTATTCGGCGTGTCCCACTCATCCCTTCCCTTAATTCTTGCGGATTTTTGAGCTAGAAAAACGTTATAAAATAAATAAAATAAAAGAATTGGTACATTTGTTGGCTTTGTTTTATCAGTCGATCCCTGAGCTAGCCAATAAGTTCGTCGATAGAGATTAAGTATAAGGGACATTGTGTGATCGGCAGTTTCTTCTAAGGCATCGGCAGGGGTGTTACAAACAGCAATTCCTTTAATCAAAAAAATTTCTCGAAACTTTTTCTCTCTAAACCTAATTGAGTAGCGGCATCAACATCAATATTGCTCAAATCAGGATTTCCTATTTTTACTAGCATTTTAAGAGAACGAAATTTGACTAGATCTTCTCGTGTTATTCTAATTGTATAGAGGAAGGCGGCTACAGCTTCGTTTAATACCTAAAGAATACATTTTAATTTTAAGACAAACATTGTGTTTTCCTTCCGGAAAATGTTTATTTGTTTTAAAGTATATAAATGTGTTTTCCGGAAAATAAAAGAAAACCAGAATTATATAATAAATTACCGAAGTAATGTTTTTCCGGAATTATAATAAGTTTTCCGGAAAACATTTAACAATAGTAGTTCAAAAAATGTTTTTACAAGTTTTCCGGAAAGTGTTTTACAATGTTTTTGTAAAATGTTTTTGTTGTTAAAATGTTTGTTAAATCTTTTCCCAACATGTTTTTCCGGAAAATGTTTTTCGGGAAAGTTTTGGGAAATGTTTACCAAAAAGTTCTCAAGTTTTTCCGGATGATGTTTTTCTAACAAGTTTTTATTGTTTTATGTTTTTGTTAATGTTTTTAGAAAAACATAAGATGTGAAAAATAAACTTTTGTGTTTCAGAAAATGTTTATATTTTCAGTGTTTATTTACGAAAAATACAAAACATAGAGAACTAAACATTTATGAAGCAGAATCTCAGGTTTTTCTAGAATTCTGATTTAAGTTTAATTAAAATCAGAATATTTAATTGAATAAAATGTTTATCAGAAAAACATTTAACAACGCGTAAAAATGTTTTCCGGAAAGAAAAATTTTTTAAAAACATTTTTTCCGGAAATGTTTTCACATGTTTTTGTAATAAGACCAGAATATTTTTAGAGGGGAAATGTTTCTATGAACTTTAGTTATATAAATAATACTTTTTCGTGTATTTCAGTCGTTAAGTGGGCATCACAGAAGGCTACAGTTGCAATATCCTGAGAGGAATTTTAATAATTATTTTTATTATTAAGATATAAGGAATTTTCTTATCAATTAAATTTTTTTTAATTTTTGTAAACCTTTAATAAAGGCATTTCTACAGAACAATCACGTCCATCAAGTAACGCAACTAAAGGTTTATTAGAAACAGAACTGCTACTTTGTTGTTGTTGATTATTTGTTGAGTTTATTAATGATGTCTTTCCTCCACCCATTTTTTAAAGTTTAATTTTAGAATTAAATTTTCTAAAATTTTTTTTAAATTTTTTAAATTTTAAAATTATCTCGGACAAAAAGGATTAAGGCGATTTTTGGGATTTTGCTTCAACATTTTTAAAAATAATTTTTTGAAGATTTTTTAATTTCGCTATCATTACTAATTATTGAAAAATATAATATAAATCCACGATTCCAGAATGGAAATGTGTGTTTGTTTGTTTGTGTTTATTTTCCGGAAAATACAAATTACTGCGTTCAAGCTTTATCGAAAAACACAAATTTTTCTTTGTTAATTTTGTTTCCAGAAAAACACACCAAGCAGAATCTATGTATTATGGAAATTAAATTTATTTTTTAGTTGTGAATAACCGGATAAGATTAAAATTACTCTAATGTCAATAACGTTGTTAGAAAATTAGAGAAAAATAAAAACGAGAGAGAGAATGAATTTTTATTTTCTGTTAGAACAGACTTTGCTTATCATGGAAAAGATTCTCTATAAAAGAAGTAAGTCAAATCCCAACCTCCTGTGAGGTGCGACGATGTCGGTGGGTGTAACTACTTAAAACAATTTTTGGGATGGGAGAGACCGGAGTCTCCCTTAAATTTTTTCAAAATTTGCGTGCACTCTTCTTAGGATGGGGAAAAATCGTCTAAGGCAAAAATTGGGAGATCTCCAAATTTGAGAGATCCGTGTTCTCTATCAGAAAACAAATTTTAAAATGAAATTTCTGGTTGTAAACAAAGACCCAATAGTCCTAGGGTCGAAATATAACGTAATAGTGTCAAAAAATCGGTTTTTAGACGAATATCTAGGCTGTAAAGTCGGATATTGTTTATCCACTCATTCATGAAAAATGTACATATCTTAAACAGAATGTACTCTAATGACCCGAAAATATAAGAGAGAAGATGGTTAGCTATAGAAAAATAATGTTAGAAAAGAGAAAAACCTATTGAGAGCTGTCTATACAAAATCTGCTTCCTATTCAAAAATTGAAAATATTTATATGTTTAAAAGGTGCTCTATCGGTAACTGCACGACGAACCCTGCGGGGACTTACTACTAAGAATTTTTGGAATGGGGAGAAGTCCGGAAGCTCCCCTTCAATTTTTTTTTTGAGATTTTCAGACTCTTATAGAGGCTAAAAATTTTTTTATTTTCGTCCAAGTTTACTCTAATGTCTTGAGAATATGAAAGAGAATGTTGCTGAAATAGAAAAATAATATTAATGGAGAGAAACCTTTGAGTTAGTCTGTCTACACAGAACCTGCTCCCCTTTCAAAGACTGAAAATATTTATAAATATTAATAGAGTTATACTTACTATTTCTTGCGACGGTACCGCGTTGGTTTAACTACTTAATAATTTTTGGAATGGGGAGAGTCCGGAATCTCCCCTTAAATTTAGGTTAAAAATTATTTCAGTAAAAAATTAAAATTTCTATTGAGGTTTATCGAGAGAATATTAAATGCCTAACAAGAATCGAACCCGTGACTTGACAGTACTCGGTTGACCTCCCTCGCTTATACACCTTTGAATGTGCTCTGCAAACTAGAGTTGGAAAAAACGATATTGGTATCGGCCAACCCGAGACCGAGACCGATACTCAAAAACCCGATACCGAGACCGATACCATCATTTTGAGCCGAGACCGATACCGAGAAACGATACTGACCGAGACTAACAAACTGAGATACTGAACTCCTACTTCGCCTTTTCACTTTTCTCTCTTGCAAGGCTAAAATCTCAATTTTGGGAAACTTATTAGAAAATTATCAGCAAAGCTGTGTTAATTATAGTTGAAAAGTCGAGTTTAGGAACAATATAATTGGTGGGCAAGAAGGAAAAATTAAAAATTTCCTGCCAAATAAAGTGTTTTTTGGAAATTTGTATTTTAGCCTTATTGCCATTTTTTCTATTGACAATTTGTGTATATGCTATAGAAAAATAATATTAAAAGAGAAGAGCATTTTAGCATGTCTGTCTAAATAGAATCTATTTCTCATTCAAAGATTTTTCCTTGTTGAAAATATTCATTGGGTAGTTGCACATTACACGCGACATACCCTGTCCTATTAACTACTTAGAAATTTTTGGAATGGGGAGAGTCCGGAATCTCCCTTTAATTTACGGTAAATCTTCCGTGGTTCATTCATCTATCTATATCTTCTTAAATCATTTACATGTTCTCTGAATTTTTTCGAGTTTTTTTTTCATTAGTAGAGTCCGGCATTTTAGGTCCGAAAAATTGAGAAAAAGGTTCTATTTTAGGTTTTTAAGTGCTAAAATATCAAACAAATTGATAAAAATTTATTTTAAGAATGAAAAAAATCGATTATACACATTTCTCTTTACTTACACGATGCTCTTAGTAACAGCATTTTGGTCCATATTTAGTCATTTTTTGGTAAATTTTAGTAAAAATTGGCGAAATTTTTAAAACTTTGAAAATTTTTATCAAACAATTTTATCGAAAAATTTTGATAAAATTAACTACAACATTAATTAATTTATTTTTACATTAATTAATAATTAATACAACATTAATCCTTTTAATTACAACAATTTTCTAAAATTCTTTTATTTTCATTCCTGGCCTGGACACGTTATATACGTTATAACGGCATCTTAAAATATATTTAGATTAAATCATAAAATTATAATTCCTCACTTCTAGCAATCCCAACAACTCCACCTTTAGGCTCTAACCAAAGAAAAGCTTCTTGAGATAAATCCACATGGTTTTTTGGGCATTCTGGGCATTTATTAGTTATTGGAACGGTTAACCTAAAAATACTTTAAATTATTTTTTAAATTTTCTTCTCACGTTTTGCTGTTATAAGAAATTTTGACACATTTATTTATGCAAATTTTGTCATTAAGCAAAACACGTTGGTCACTTAGACAAGAAGGGATCCATTGGGCACTACTGTCGAATAGAGAACCGGAGGCGGCTGCTGACATTTTTGGCTGTAAAAATGAATAATTTAAAGGTAATTATAAAACCTCAATAATGTTAGACTAATAACTTAGTTAACAATCCAAAACACAACGGGACTGGGCCGTTTTGGCGCGGGGCCGTTTTGGCGCGAGCTTATATGATAGCGAGTTCGTTATCAAAAATGATAAAATTTTGCAATAATAACTCTCGTACCTTTATCTAAGTTCTCCAAAAATTTAAGAATTTTTGATCAAGAATTCCGGAAATTATGGACAAAAATATTGATATTCAGAAAAATGGCTAAGTTTTCGAGGTCTATCGACTATAACTTCAGAAATATTTGATGAAAAATTCGGAAATTTCTGGAGCAGGTAGTCAAGGATGTTTAAGAAATTTGAGAAAATTTTTATGAAGTTAGGTCTCGCCTAAGTACCACTTTTTTGTTCTCGCGCCAAAACGGCCCGGCGCCAAAACGACCCCAACCCAAACACAACACCACCAAATATAGATAGACCATCCTTTAAAATTTGTTTAGGATGCCTAAACGATACCCAAATAATGAATTCACTTGAATAAAGCAATAATTTTTTCAACCCAAGTGATGCTCGAATGTAATTGGACACTAGTATAAGAATTGGCAACAGAATAGACTAAAACTGCTTAGGAGAATCCAGCGTTTTTATACTATAACAACACAGTGCCCTTGTCTATTTGAAATGGAATTCTGTTGATTCTAAGGGAGTGTTTATCTAATGCCCCTTATCTTTCTTCAATAATAGCCCAATATTCCTCAATAATACTCCAATAACTGCAGACCTGATCCGAATCGATCCCACAAGCTCCACGACCCCCAGCACCATAAAAAGTAAATATTCCATCCTCTATAGGCGAATTCAATTCCGAGTCAATTATTCCTGAAGCATTAGACAGCGAAAGACAAGTGTCTTTAGTTGTGATAACTTGGGGTACAACAAGGGAGTCTCCCGATGTGGATTGTGTTGTGGTTGTTTCTGATGGAACTATAGTGGATTTTGGAGTGATGGGGGTGGTGACTTGATTATTGGTTTGTTTTGTGGATTTTATAGTTGAATTTTTGTTTGATGGGGGTAATTTAGTTGTGCCAGATGGAATTTTGCTTGATTTTATAGCGGCGGTGGTGACTTGATTATTTTTATTTTTCGTGGATTTTATAGTTGAATTATTACGAGATGAGGGTGTTGTTGATTTCACAATGGTAGTATTCCCTTTTTTATGGTCACACCTTCTAGTTTTGAGAACACAAATTTTTGGCATTCCATTTCCTCTAATGACAAGTCCCGCCTCTTTGTAAGAAGCCCCAGGTTCGATGCGAACATTTGCAGGGGTTCTGTAGTGGTTGTTGCCAACACTGCGCATGTTTCTGTTGCTTTTTGTGGATGACTAAAAATGTTTCGATTTACCTATACTATTTTCAGAAAAATAAAAGACTACCCCACTAGGCAACGACAAAAAGAACTTCACAGAGCAAATTGATGCATTTCCCTTGTTTGTGATTACGAGTTGGACATTGCTACTACCCTTACTCGATTCTAAAATATTTTTAGTAATAGAAACGGAGCATGAATTAGCACTTTTTGGAATGAGTAAAAAGACAAAAATGAAAATTATTTCAAGGATAGACATTTTAATATTATTAAATTTGGAGTAACTTTAATATTAAGCATTGCTTGGTTGAAAATCCAGTTGTATATAAACCCAAAGTTCCGCCACGTACTCCACCTGTTATAAATTTCCGGAAATTAATATTTTAACAGCTTTTTTATTTTATTGAAAATTTTATTTTATAACTTTTTTCTATAATAAATTTATGAACTAAGTATTGAGGTTGGTGAATCCGGATATCCGTATGTGAAAAGGAGGATAACTGGAAATTTCCGTTCGGATAAGGATATCCGGGGGATATACTTTAGCCGGTGGCCCACTCAGAAATAGTTCAAATTATATACCATTCGATTCGTCTCGGCGAGCTGAGTCGAATGGTACCACTCTTTTTTTGCGGAAATTCCCACGAGCCGAGATATAGGTCCTTAAAAACCGAAAAACCAAGGGGGGACCAAGCACTTTTTTGGGGTGAAAAATTCGAATATGCAAATAATAGCTCATTCGAAAGAGCTTGTCGAGCTGAGTCGTAATACACCAAAATCACCGGAATTGAACAAGTTTAGACAAAGTTACAACACAAAAAACAAGCAACATAAACCTATGGAGCGTCGGCGAGGCGCTTTTGCATAACCCCGCGCTTCGCGCGGGGTTTTGCGGCACGCGCCTCGCGGGGAGTCTACGGGCACTGGGTCTGGGCTCGTAACATAAACCTATTCCTATCTCCCTTGCTCTGGACGTATTTGGGGCCTCCGTAGCAGCAAAAGTCTCCATAGATGACATAGGTAAGGAGCTAAAACAAACGGTCATAACTTTGTCAAATCAAGTCGGATTTCGTTGATTTTGGTGTCATTCGACTCAGCTCGACGAGACGAATCGAATGGTATATAATTTGACCCGTTTCTGAGTGGGCCACCGGCTAAAGTACAGCCTATCCGGGGATTTCCCAGGATCCGCCAAGCTAGAGGCTTTTGGATAGAGGCTTTTTTACTATAGTAGAGGCTTTCTCTTCCGCTGAATTCTACACATTTTGTTCATTCAGTTCTGCGTCTACAATCAGAAAGGTACCGTATCATATCTTTATGATAAAATAAAAAATTTACAGGTCAAAATAATAATTGCCCTCCCTCAAATAATTACCCCGCCTGCTTTTATTACCCCCTCCAACGAGAGATCGAAACAATAATTACCCAGGGTAATTATTACAGTATATACGGTATACGTAAAATAAAATAAAAATGTTAAGAGAATAAAGATTTATGCCGCCTTGTCAATTTTATATAAAATTGAAAAAATCGAATAAACAAATTTATAAAATTATTATGATTTACACGCGTAAAGCGTCTTTCCTAACATTTTTCATATGTATATACGACATTTACGGACCGACATTTGAGAATATTGTTAATATTTTTTTCTGGAATGGGCTGAAACAGAGATTCTTAATTTTAAAGAATTAAACTTAAAATAGCCTCATTTTAGAATGAAGAATAGCAAAACTTGTCAATTTTGAAAAAGTTACTATTTCGGGCGAACAAAATTGACAAATTTTGCTATTTTTCATTCAAAATGAGGCTAGTTTACGCTTACTTCTTTGAAATTAAGAATCCCTTTTTACGCCCATTCCAGAAAAAGTTATTACCAATGTCCTCAAATGTCGGTCCGTAAATGTCGTATATAAAATCTTAAGCAAAAATTATTTACGCCTGTAAATCATAATAATTTTATAAATTTGTTTATTCAATTTTTGCAATTTTATTTAAAATTGACAGGCGGGCATTACGATTGCAAATTCGTCGTACACACCTATGTATTTATTGACAGGCGGGCATTACGATAGCGTACATACATTCCCTTAACATACATATATTCCCTTAACATTTTTATTTAATTTAATGTATAGTAAATATTTTTGTTAATTAATAAAAATTAAAAAAAGGATAGATTGTCCTCGTCAAAATATTCCAAAAAATATGTATAATATGTATTAGAGGAACAATATTAGGGGAGAGGGGAATTACCAGAAACGTCTATAATTTCCCAACTTTCGAAGTGGGAACTTTTCCGTTAACAAAATAAACTCGTTAATAATTAATATAAAAACTTTAATTTCTGAATTTTAGGATGAATTTAAAATTCACCTTAATTTTCTTTTTTCTCGTTTTATATGAGCGGATTGAAGGGGGTAGGTTATTTACTAATTTAAAACTAAGAAAAATTAATAAAAAATAAAAATAAAGGGTTGGTTACATTGAAAGAACCACCTTCTATGTTGAATGGACAAATTCAACACGTTGTGACTTCTGATAATCCTGGAGGTGTTGAATATAGCGATATTCCTGTTTATGGAAGGAAAACGTTGAATGAGGTTGGAATGGGAAAGAGTGGAGGAAATAAAGTGGAAGGAAAAAGTAAAGGAAATAAACAAGGGAAAGGAAACAAAAAGATTCGAAATGAGAAAGTTATACCTAATGTGGACGTTAAAAATCGTTTTGCTTTATTAGAAAAGCTAAAAGAAGAAGGGGGAAAGAATAAAAAGAAAAAGCTGAACAAAGTAATTGAGAAAACAAAAATTGAAAACAATGAAGAGGAGAAGGAAGAAGAAAATTGCAATCAAAATTGTGAGGAAGTTGTGTGTGAGGATGAGGAGGAAATTGGAGGTTTTTGGCTTTTTAAATTCTATGAATAAATAAAAGAGTGAATTGAAGGTTTCGAGATTTCTCTTGCGCTCTAAAGCTGCTTAGTAATTTAATATACCGTAAATCCTCTAAAATAAGCCCCCTTCTAAAACAAGCCCCCTCCCCATAAAATTTTTAATAGCTGATAGATTGTTGTATCCCCTCAGCTGAGTCTTCATGGAAGGATATAGAAGGATTAGAAGTGATTAAGAGGTTATTTGGGTGATTAACAGGTGTATAAAGGAATCAACGTAGATATCGAGGGATTTGAGGTGATTAAGAGTGATATTGGAGGATTTGAGGCTTAATGAGATATATAGTGATAATGAAGATTTAGGGAGATTAGGAGATTTAGGGAGATTAGGACCATGGGACGAAAATTCATACAAAGAACCGGAGTTTCCTCGGTTTCCAAAAATTTCGATCGGGCCCTTCGAAATTAACAAAAAATTCTAAAATTTTATTTAGAAATGAAAAATGGACATAATGAAGCAAGGTAAATGAAATTTTATATTATTAAAATATGAAATTTACAACGTCTGTTTTAAATAATCTAATAATTTATGTTTATTAAATTAATTATAATATGTATGCCTTTATTTTTATAAATTAAATAGATCTGCGAACAGAAAACTATACAGCTCATACAGCTCTCCAAAGTCGTCAGGCTTTCCAAAGTCGTCAGGCTCATCACCTGGCTCTAAAACCCCAGCTGGAAAGCCAACAATTATAAAACCACCCAGTAATACATATCCTTACGGAGGATCAACTTATCCTTACGGAGGTACATATCCTCCTTATTATTATGGAGGAACGACCTACTATTATGGTAGCTCTAACAGCTCTAATTGTTATTGCAAAAAGAAGACATTTCGAGCTGCAATTTTTGGTTATTTGGCTCTCAGCTCATTAATGCTAATGGCACCATCCTTCGATCAACAACCTTTTATGAACTGCGTTGTTTGTAAGTCAAAAATGTTTAAAATACTTTTACTAATGAAAGACTAAACTCTTTCCCATTCTTGATTTAAGAGAGGTTTCGAGTTGATTAATTTACAATAAATTTTGGTTAAAGAGGAAGTACATATTTGCTAGAGGTGTGCGAGACTCTTAGTTTTGAGTTTTGACTCAAGACTTTTTTAGGGGTTTTTCTTTTTTTTTGGTCTTGGGGTCTTTGGGTCTTGGGGTTTTGGTCTTGGGGTCTAGTCTTGGTCTTGTGTATTGGGAAATTTTCGGTCTCGCACGCACGCCTCGCAAACCCATACGGCTCAGCTTGACGAGATTCTAGAGTTAATCAATTTAGTCTAGATCAGAGTTTCATTACCCTAATTATTAGGGTTGGGGAAAAGATGCAAAGTAGTAAGCGCTAACAGCTCTAATTGCTTTTCCTTTTCTTTTTACAACACTAAAAAACATTTCATTATAAAAAATATGGCAAATAGCAAACCCATAATTTAACAAAATTTTAAAACAGCTAATGGCTTTAATGGAGGAAAACAATTAAATTGCGAGCTTGGAGATGATAGTTACTACAAGTGTACAAATATCATGGGCGATTATCCAAAAGAAGTGCGTTCAAAAGGCTTTAACAAACGCGAATATAAATTGGAATGCCCAATTGGTCCCAACGGTTCAAATATGGAGGTTGCTAAAGCAAATGCTACCCTTGTTGAGGGTGAAAAGCGTAATTGGTTCGTTCAATTCATTTTGAACCCAGTCAAGAACGTTACAAGTGGATGGAATAACACAAAAGTTTGAGAGACGAGAGAGGTTCCGACTCGTTTAGCTTGAAAATTTTAAATTTCGTGCAAGTCAAAGGGAGTATGAAAGAATGAAATTTTATCGAATAATGAAATTTTATCGAATAATTTATGTTTAGTAAATTAAATATATAATATGCTTTTATTTTTAAAAATTAAATAGATCTGAAAACAAAAAGCTATACAGTTGGCATCCAAAATTTTGGAGCCCTCCAAAAGCACCAAGCCCTCCAAAGTCGTCAGACTCATCACCATCTGGAAACCCAACAATTATAAAACCACCCAGTAATACATATCCTTACGGAGGATCAACTTACACTTACGGAGGTAGATATCCTTATTATTATGGAGGAACGCCTTACTACTATGGTAGTTCTAACAGCTCTAATTGTTGTTGCAAAAAGAGGACTATACAAGCTGTAGTTTTTGGTTATTTGGCTCTCAGCTCATTAATTCTAATGGCACCATCTTTCAATAAACCAATTTCTATGAATTGCGTTATTCGTAAGTCAAAAAGTTTAAAAATACTTTTACTAAGGAAAGACTGAAGAAACCTTTACGAAGCTTGACTTAAGAGAAGTTTCAGTTTAGATTGTTTACTCTTATTATATGTACAGTATAACATAACTATAAATAGTGATGCTCGAGGAATGAAAATTACCGATACAAGAATTGGGTCAGGGACAGAATTAGGTCGACCTAAAAAACAAAAATCTCGGATCGAGACAGATCGAGAAAATTTTTTCAAATTTATGTAAAATTGAGGATTTTTCAAAAATTTTGACATTTAATCAATATTGAAATATAAAAAACACTTGAATGGCATGCTCCATTATTCAGAAATTATGTGAGGCTTGGAGGGATTAAAGGATATAAGGGGATTTGGAGGATTAAGGAGTATTTGAAGGGATTAAAGAGTATGCCTGGGGATAGAAAAGGGGATCTGGAATGAGGAGTGTGGTGGAATGAATAATAATGCGGGGAAAAATTTAACATAATTTTAAAACAGCTCATGGCTTTAATGGAGGAAAACAATTAAATTGCGAGCTTAAGGATGATAGTTACTACAAGTGCACAAATATCATGGGTGATTATCCAAAGGAATTGCGTTCAAAAGGCTTTAACAAAGGCGAATATCAATTGGAATGCCCAATTGGTCCCAACGGTTCAAATGTGGAAGTTGCTAAAGCAAATGTTAAACATGTTGAGGAGAGTGATCGTAATTGGTTTGTTCAATTCGTTTTGGACCCAGTCAAGAACGTTACAAGTGGATGGAATAACACAAAAGTTTGAGAGATGAGAGAGGTTCCGACTCGTTTAGCTTGAAAATTTTAAATTTCGTGCAAGTCAAAGGGAGTATGAAAGAGGTGGAATTATGAAAGTTACTCCCTACCATTTTGATTTAAATTTATGTCCATGTTGCACCAAAATCAAAAATTTGATAACCAAAAAATCAAAGAATTTTTGACAAATGTTGACAAGAGTTTATACGAACTGAAACTTACGGTGCAACAAACATATTTCCCGCATGTACATATTACGTGTTCCCTTTTTAGAAAGTTATCGAAGTAGCAATTATTTTGCTATAGACCACCCCCTCCCCAAATGCTATATACCCACCAAAAATGATATTTGCTATACGCTCCCCCCCCCCCCCCCCCCCCCCAAATGTTTAATTTTTATCAACACCTCCATTACCAGTAAATTTTTTGAAATCACTGTACTTGAAAATGTTTTAAGAGATTTGTATTTATGGGAACTTTTTAAAAGCATTAATTGCCTTATTATGTTAAGTGATAGATAATGTTAAGTGTAGTTATTCTGGGTAATATTTAGTTCTCTATTCCCATAAGATACTCTCTCTGTTCCATTCTAATGGAAATACATGTGAAAAATCAATAAAGTAGTAAATGCTTTTTAAAAAAGTTCACATAAGAATTACTGTTACAAGTACCAAAATCCAAAGTAGTTTTAGTATTCTATTTCTTTATTTATTTAAATTATTATTCACTAAAGTAGTATAGAATGTATAAAGTTTTATATTGGATTTTTGTATCTTAGTTTTGTGGACTGATTTATTGTATATTTTTATCAACTTATATAACAGGGCTGGATTTGTAAGTTTAATTAACAGTCTTTAGAAAACAGAAATTTTTTAGAAGTATAAAAATTTAAAAATTATTTTAAATCAATAAATTATTGCATAATATTATTTAAAATTTTAAAAGAAAAAATATATCATAAGGATTAAAATGTTAGATAATAGAAAAATTGAAATCAAACACCTGAAACTTCCATGACAACAATAATGTCGTCATCATTCTGTTGTTGGTGTTCTTCAACTAGTTGATTTTGTCGTTGTTGTTGTTCTCCCGATTGTTGTTCTCCCAATTGATTTTATTATTGTTTAATTGTTCTTCTTGCACATCTGATAATTTAAATTATTTATATACATCTTACTTATCATTAGTAATTAGTAACTTTTTTTCTATTTTTGTTCTATATTTTTTTTCTATATTAAATTTATGAACAATGGATTGAGGTTGGCGGATTTGGACATCCGGATCCGAAAAGGAGGATATCTGGAAATTTCCGTTCGGATAAGGATATCCGTGAATTTCCCAGGATCCGCCAAGCCTACCATAGAAAGAGGCTTTCTTCCGTTAAATTATACACTTTTTGAACTATCCGGTTCTGCGTCTACAATTAGAAAAGTATACGTAAAATAAAAATGTTAAGAAAATAAGGATTTCTAAATAAATGTGTATTGACGCTATCGTAATGCCCGCCTGTCAATTTTATTAAACTTAAAAAATCGGATATAAAAATTTATAAGAGTGCATCGCGTGTATCGCCTTTTATCTCCTTGTCCTTAAAAATTGAACTTAAAAAATCGAATAAAAAAATTTATAAAAATCTTACACGCGTAAATAGTTTTTAAGATTTTTCAGATATACGACATTTACGGACCGACATTTGAGGATATTGGTAATATATTCTTCTGGAATGGGCGTAAAAAGGGATTCTTAATTTCAAAGAATCAAGCTTAAAATAGGCTAATTCTAGAATGAAGATTAGCAAAAATTGTCAAATTTGTTCATTAATATCCCTCTTAATCCCTTCAAATTACACTGTATGTCCCATAATCCTCCGATATATTTAACTGACAGATTGTCCACTGACTCATTGTCCAGACAAGCAATTAAGTACATAGTATAAAATCGGTAATAAAAATGATAAACAGGAGCAATTAAGTCAATATATGACCTAAAAACTAACGAATTTATCCAGAAACATGCCTATTAATGACATACATAACTTTTTCAATTCATTCTTCTTTATTCTAAAATTAGCCTATTTTAAGCTTGATTCTTTGAAATTAAGAATCCCTTTTTACGTCCATTCCAGTAAAAGATATTAACAATATCCTCAAATGTCGGTCCGTAAATGTCGTATATCTGAAAAATATTAAGCAAAAACGATTTACGCGTGTAAATCTTAAGATTTCTTATTCGATTTTTTAAGTTTAATTTTTTAAGACAAAGATACAAGGCATTACACGGCGATACACTCTTATAAATTTTTTTTATTCGATTTTTTAAGTTCAATTTAAGTTCAATTATTAATACGATAGCGTTAATACACACCTATTTATAAATCCTTATTTTCTTAACATTTTTATTTTATGTATAGCCAAAATTAAATATTTTTGTTAATTAATAAAAATTTAAAATTAAAAAAAAGGCGAGAGTATAGTCGTCTCAATATTTCAAATAATTATCAGAGAATTCTAAATGCATCGATAGGGGCTTAATAATATTCACGCACGGAGCGGGGAATTACCAGAAACTTTTCAATTAACAAATTAAACTCAATAATATTATCTCCACGAAATAAGAATAGATATTGTTAGGTGGACACTAGTAACACTCTCACCCTATGTAAAAATTTTAATTTCTCAATTTTAAGATGAATTTAAAATTTTCCTTAATTTTATTTTTTCTCGTCCTTTGTAAAGGAATTGAAGGGGGTAGGTTATTTACTAATTTAAAAATAATAAAAATTAATAAAAAATAAAAATAAAGGATTGGTGCCATTGAAAGAACCACCTCCTGTGTTGAATGGTCGACAAATTCAACACGTATTGAATTCTGATAGGAATGGTGGTGTTAAATACAGCAATATTCCAGTTTATGGGAGGACTGAAAAGGGAAGGATTGGGGAAGATAAAGGAATAGGAAATGGGGAAGGAAATGAAAGCAAAACTGCAAAATTAAATAAAAATGTTCAAGACAAGGAGGATAAAAAAAGTAAAAAAATGAAAAACAAAAAGAGACAAAATGAGAAAGCTATACCTAATTGGAGCGCAGGAAATCCTTTTGCTGTACTAGATGGGCTGGAAGAAAAATGGGAAAAGAAAGAAAATAAAAAGTTGAAAAAAGTAATTGAGAAAACAGAAATTGAAAACAATGAAGAGGAGAAGGAAGAAGAGAATTGCAATCGAAATTGTGAGGAAGTTGTGTGTGAGGATGAGGAAGAAATTGGAGGTTCTTGGCTTTTTAAATTTATTGAAAGTTTTAAGATTTCTCTTGCGCTCTAAAGTGTTTAGAAATTAAATACTTATAGTTAATATAGCAAAATTCGACAAGTTTTGGATTTTATATTTTATCACAATAGAAAAATCTACTCATAAAGCTAAGAGGGTCTGTAGTGAATCCATTTTTCTGAAGCAAATTAAAGAACCGGAGTTTCTTCGGTTCAGTTTAAGGGTTTCCAAAAATTTCGATCGAGATCCTTCAAAATTAACAAAAAAATTCTAAAATTTTAATTAAGAAATGAAAAATGGATCTGCGAACAGAAAGCTATACAGTTGGCACAGATCTCCAAAATTTTGGAGCCCTCCAGTAGCACCAAGCCCACCAAAGTCGTCAGACTCATCTGGAAAACCAACAATTATAAACCCACCGACTTACGGAGGAACGACTTACCCTTACGGAGGTAGATATCCTTATTATTATGGAGGAACGCCCTACTACTATGGTAGTTCTAACAGCTCTAATTGTTGTTGCAAAAAGAGGACTATACAAGCTGTAGTTTTTGGTTATTTGGCTCTCAGCTCATTAATTCTAATGGCACCATCTTTCAATAAACCAATTTCTATGAATTGCGTTGTCCGTAAGTCAAAAAGTTTAAAAATACTTTTACTAAGGAAAGACTGAAGAAACCTTTACGAAGCTTGACTTAAGAGAAGTTTCAGTTTAGATTGTTTACTCTTATTATATGTACAGTATAACATAACTATAAATAGTGCTGCTCGAGGAATGAAAATTACCGATACAAGAATTGGGTCAGGGACAGAATTAGGTCGACCTAAAAAACAAAAATCTCGGATCGAGACAGATCGAGAAAATTTTTTCAAATTTATGTAAAATTGAGGATTTTTCAAAAATTTTGACATTTAATCAATATTGAAATATAAAAAACACTTGAATGGCATGCTCCATTATTCAGAAATTATGTGAGGCTTGGAGGGATTAAAGGATATAAGGGGATTTGGAGGATTAAGGAGTATTTGAAGGGATTAAAGAGTATGCCTGGGGATAGAAAAGGGGATCTGGAATGAGGAGTGTGGTGGAATGAATAATAATGCGGGGAAAAATTTAACATAATTTTAAAACAGCTCATGGCTTTAATGGAGGAAAACAATTAAATTGCGAGCTTAAGGATGATAGTTACTACAAGTGCACAAATATCATGGGTGATTATCCAAAGGAATTGCGTTCAAAAGGCTTTAACAAAGGCGAATATCAATTGGAATGCCCAATTGGTCCCAACGGTTCAAATGTGGAAGTTGCTAAAGCAAATGTTAAACATGTTGAGGAGAGTGATCGTAATTGGTTTGTTCAATTCGTTTTGGACCCAGTCAAGAACGTTACAAGTGGATGGAATAACACAAAAGTTTGAGAGATGAGAGAGGTTCCGACTCGTTTAGCTTGAAAATTTTAAATTTCGTGCAAGTCAAAGGGAGTATGAAAGAGGTGGAATTATGAAAGTTACTCCCTACCATTTTGATTTAAATTTATGTCCATGTTGCACCAAAATCAAAAATTTGATAACCAAAAAATCAAAGAATTTTTGACAAATGTTGACAAGAGTTTATACGAACTGAAACTTACGGTGCAACAAACATATTTCCCGCATGTACATATTACGTGTTCCCTTTTTAGAAAGTTATCGAAGTAGCAATTATTTTGCTATAGACCACCCCCTCCCCAAATGCTATATACCCACCAAAAATGATATTTGCTATACGCTCCCCCCCCCCCCCCCCCCCCCCCCACAAATGTTATTTAAATTTTATCACCACCTCCATTACCAGTAAATTTTTTTGAAATTACGATACTCGAAAATGTTTCAAGAGTATTTATGGGAACTTTTTTCAAAGCATTAATTGCCTTATTATGTTAAGTGATAGGTTCAAGAGAATGTATTTATGGGAAATTTTGAAAAGAGTTTATCCAAACTTTTTATCTTAGTTTTCCCCAGTTTAAGTTTAGCAGGTTAATATATCTCTATTTAAATAAAAAAATTTTATGGAATATTTAAAAATCAATTAGAAGTCGGAATGGGAGGGTTGCACAGAATTGAGATATCTATCTAGAAATACGATCTCGATAAAGATATTTATGTTTAAAATCATGTCTCGGTTCTATCTCTAATAGAAATTAATGTGAGAATTGCTAAAGTAAACCTCCTCAATGCTTTTACCCCCCAAAAATGCCAAATGCTATACCCCCCCCCCCCCCCCCAAATGTTATTTAAATGTTATCTACATTATTATTCACATAAAAGATTTTATGGAATATCTAAAAAACAAAAATGTTCTTGTAAAGATTAGAATTCGGAATGGGAGGGTTGCACAGAGTCGAGATAGATATCTACTATAAATATATTAATCTCGATAAAGGGATTTATGTTAAAGATCTCTCTCGGTTCCATCTCTAATAGAAATACATGTGAAAAATTAATAAAGTAGTAAATGCTTTTTAAAAAAGTTCACATAAGAATTACTGTTACAAGTACCAAAATCCAAAGTAGTTTTAGTATTCTATTTCTTTATTTATTTAAATTATTATTCACTAAAGTAGTATAGAATGTATAAAGATTTATATTGGATTTTTGTATCTTAGTTTTGTGGACTGATTTATTGTATATTTTTATCAACTTATATAACAGGGCTGGATTTGTAAGTTTAATTAACAGTCTTTAGAAAACAGAAATTTTTTAGAAGTATAAAAATTTAAAAATTATTTTAAATCAATAAATTATTGCATAATATTATTTAAAATTTTAAAAGAAAAAATATATCATAAGGATTAAAATGTTAGATAATAGAAAAATTGAAATCAAACACCTGAAACTTCCATGACAACAATAATGTCGTCATCATTCTGTTGTTGGTGTTCTTCAACTAGTTGATTTTGTCGTTGTTGTTGTTCTCCCGATTGTTGTTCTCCCAATTGATTTTATTATTGTTTAATTGTTCTTCTTGCACATCTGATAATTTAAATTATTTATATACATCTTACTTATCATTAGTAATTAGTAACTTTTTTTCTATTTTTGTTCTATATTTTTTTTCTATATTAAATTTATGAACAATGGATTGAGGTTGGCGGATTTGGACATCCGGATCCGAAAAGGAGGATATCTGGAAATTTCCGTTCGGATAAGGATATCCGTGAATTTCCCAGGATCCGCCAAGCCTACCATAGAAAGAGGCTTTCTTCCGTTAAATTATACACTTTTTGAACTATCCGGTTCTGCGTCTACAATTAGAAAAGTATACGTAAAATAAAAATGTTAAGAAAATAAGGATTTCTAAATAAATGTGTATTAACGCTATCGTAATGCCCGCCTGTCAATTTTATTAAACTTAAAAAATCGGATATAAAAATTTATAAGAGTGCATCGCGTGTATCGCCTTTTATCTCCTTGTCCTTAAAAATTGAACTTAAAAAATCGAATAAAAAAATTTATAAAAATCTTACACGCGTAAATAGTTTTTAAGATTTTTCAGATATACGACATTTACGGACCGACATTTGAGGATATTGGTAATATATTCTTCTGGAATGGGCGTAAAAAGGGATTCTTAATTTCAAAGAATCAAGCTTAAAATAGGCTAATTCTAGAATGAAGATTAGCAAAAATTGTCAAATTTGTTCATTAATATCCCTCTTAATCCCTTCAAATTACACTGTATGTCCCATAATCCTCCGATATATTTAACTGACAGATTGTCCACTGACTCATTGTCCAGACAAGCAATTAAGTACATAGTATAAAATCGGTAATAAAAATGATAAACAGGAGCAATTAAGTCAATATATGACCTAAAAACTAACGAATTTATCCAGAAACATGCCTATTAATGACATACATAACTTTTTCAATTCATTCTTCTTTATTCTAAAATTAGCCTATTTTAAGCTTGATTCTTTGAAATTAAGAATCCCTTTTTACGTCCATTCCAGTAAAAGATATTAACAATATCCTCAAATGTCGGTCCGTAAATGTCGTATATCTGAAAAATATTAAGCAAAAACGATTTACGCGTGTAAATCTTAAGATTTCTTATTCGATTTTTTAAGTTTAATTTTTTAAGACAAAGATACAAGGCATTACACGGCGATACACTCTTATAAATTTTTTTTATTCGATTTTTTAAGTTCAATTTAAGTTCAATTATTAATACGATAGCGTTAATACACACCTATTTATAAATCCTTATTTTCTTAACATTTTTATTTTATGTATAGCCAAAATTAAATATTTTTGTTAATTAATAAAAATTTAAAATTAAAAAAAAGGCGAGAGTATAGTCGTCTCAATATTTCAAATAATTATCAGAGAATTCTAAATGCATCGATAGGGGCTTAATAATATTCACGCACGGAGCGGGGAATTACCAGAAACTTTTCAATTAACAAATTAAACTCAATAATATTATCTCCACGAAATAAGAATAGATATTGTTAGGTGGACACTAGTAACACTCTCACCCTATGTAAAAATTTTAATTTCTCAATTTTAAGATGAATTTAAAATTTTCCTTAATTTTATTTTTTCTCGTCCTTTGTAAAGGAATTGAAGGGGGTAGGTTATTTACTAATTTAAAAATAATAAAAATTAATAAAAAATAAAAATAAAGGATTGGTGCCATTGAAAGAACCACCTCCTGTGTTGAATGGTCGACAAATTCAACACGTATTGAATTCTGATAGGAATGGTGGTGTTAAATACAGCAATATTCCAGTTTATGGGAGGACTGAAAAGGGAAGGATTGGGGAAGATAAAGGAATAGGAAATGGGGAAGGAAATGAAAGCAAAACTGCAAAATTAAATAAAAATGTTCAAGACAAGGAGGATAAAAAAAGTAAAAAAATGAAAAACAAAAAGAGACAAAATGAGAAAGCTATACCTAATTGGAGCGCAGGAAATCCTTTTGCTGTACTAGATGGGCTGGAAGAAAAATGGGAAAAGAAAGAAAATAAAAAGTTGAAAAAAGTAATTGAGAAAACAGAAATTGAAAACAAT